TGTTTAGATAAATATTCTTAACTCTTCTGAAGATTTAGGAAACCGGTGCCATATAGAAGTAAAACCTGTGTATACAATCTCATAGCTCGTAAATTTGTTACTATTACTCTAATTTTTGCTGCTGAACATTCTTCATATAATTTGAGAAAAATAGTATTTTCTGTCAATACCACGTATAATCAGGGAAAATTTATAGTAAAAATTACTTTTATTAATATTTTATTGGAAATGAAAAGTAGATATTTAATTTTTTTTCTTATTTTAGGTAATTAAAAACTTATTCAAGTATGTTACTTTTATTATCAGTTAAGGAAGGAAGAAAATTACACAAGAATCCACGTTTTTCATTGTCACAGTAGTTGAGATATTTAATAATATGGTAATATCCTCTTAAATTAGTTATATCTCCAAACCCTGACTTTTTCCCTAGGACCTTAAGGGTATGCTGTGAAAGGCCTCAATTGTTTTAACCCCAAGTCTTATGATTTCTCTTAAAAGTCCATCATGAATTCATGAACACTGTCTAACTCCATGGAGTTGACTTTATCAAATTTTAGAATAACTTCTCTAAAACATGATATTTTTTAAATGCTTGCAATAAATCTTTACATTTACTTTTGAAGGCTCAAGATTTAGGAAGTATGGAAATATGACAAACCAATTTGATTGCTGCCAGAGTTTATGCGGTAGCAGGCAAAGGGCCTGCTCATTGCAATCTTCTGTTTCTTCTCCCAAAATTCCTATTTATCATAGACACCCAAATTCCACTGGATTTTTTTTTTTTTTTAATTTCAATCTTAACATTTTTAGAAAAGCTGATCCATGGTCTTTGCAAGCTGACTCAAGCACTGACCGGGACAGGCTCTTCCTCCTGGATTGCCCTGCTCACACAGCTTCCTAATGTTTAGTCTACTCATGACTTATAAATAAATCCCCTACATAAATTTGAAGAAAGCATTTTAAAAGTTTTCCTCTGAATTTGTTTTCAGATGAAAACTCATTACCCAACTTTCCTAGACTTTTTTATTTTTTTTTTATTTTTATGTTTTAAATTAAGAAAAATGGGCGGGCCAGAGAGCTCAGCTGCCTAAAGTGCCTGCTTACACAGGTGCGGGGACCGGGATTTGATTCCTCGGTGTGCTGGGCCGGGCCCCATGCCACAGGGTGCGCTGAGATGGTGACTGAGACTGGGCATGGTGGCACATGCCTATAGTCCCAGTGCTTGGGAGGCGGAAAGCAGGAGTATCACTACAAGTCCAATCTGTGTAGGTAGAACCTGTACCAAATACATTTTTTTAAAAGGAAAGAAAGAAAAATGTCATATTTCAGTAAATATAGTATAAGGTGTGTTATCTTTTGTATTTATGTGACTGTGTACTTTTAAGTGGGGTTTAATTTTTCTTTTCCTTTTTCCTTATAGGATTTAATTGTGATGGGCGCTCCAGGATCATCTTATTGGACCGGTTCTCTTTTTGTCTATAATATAACTACAAATAAATACAAAGCTTTCTTAGACAAACAAAATCAAGTCAAATTTGGAAGCTATTTAGGTATTATAGAGATTGACAAATTCAAATTCCCTGTCTCTTGGTTACTAGTTATTATTAAAAAAAAAAAAAAAAAAAGGAATATTGTAGCTTTAAAAGATCGACATGGTCAGCAGGTAGCAATTAAACAGTTGTGAAACTCTCGATAAAATAGAAAGTCTGTGGAATTTTAGTGAAATGTATTATTTTGCATTTGACGTATGTGACTGCAGTCATCGTTACCTACTTAACTAGAACTCCTGGGGCGGCTTCCCTTTTGGATTTCACTGGAGGGAGGACCACAGACTTGTCCGTATCTTAATAAGGTCAATTTGTTACTAATTATTTCCAGCCACAACTGTGTGCTTACTACACTCCGGGGGCTTATCCTAAGAACTTTACACATGTTAACTCACTTAACCGTGTATGTATGAGTGAGTATAGTTTCTTAAAAGATCAAATGAAAGCCCACGGGACTGTCACCAGCATTCTGGGTAAAGGGTAACATTAAGAAGCTTAGTGTAAAAACTGCTCACTGGCCTTTGTCTTTTAAATTCTTGGACTATTTCCTGGAACTTAACTAGTCATTCATTTTCCCTCCCCCTCTCCCCCTCTCCCCGTCTCTGTCCCCCTCTGTCCCCCTCTGTCCCCCTCTGTCCCCCTCTGTCCCCCTCTGTCCCCCTCTGCCTCTCTCTGCCTCTCTCTGCCTCTCTCTGCCTCTCTCTGCCTCTCTTTCCCTCTTTCTCTCTCTCTCTCTCTTTCTCTCTTTCTCAGAATATATTACTTTCCTATATATTGGAAAGAAAGCTTCTACCAGGGAGGGACAGAAGGGGACCCAAGTGGGTGGTCCAAGTTTAACTTTTCATCACTATCACTCTCTTCCTTGCTATTATTTCATACTTGATATTTCTACAGAAATACAACAAATTTTGGCATTCCCATTACTATTAGTTTTTCTCTATTTCCTTACAAAGCATACATTTATTTAAGCTGTATGTATTTCAAATGTGTGCATCTTCTATGGAGGTAATTACATTAAACAGGCAGCATTTTTCTCAGTCAGAACTTCACTGACAATGCAACATTTTCTTATTTATGATGGAACAGGTCCTCAAGTATTATAAAATATAATTTGATGATATGCCTTTTAGCACATGAAATTAAAATTTTATGTGTCATCATATACCTTTTGTGTCATCTTCAAATCATGACATTAAGATTTCATGGTACAACAGTTGAAAACTGGGAAGATGTTTATTTAAAGCTTAAAATGTTTTATATACGCAAACATTTTGGTTGTAATTCTAGAACCTGATTACTCTTACTATACAAACCAAATGCAAAGGTGGTATTTTCAGCTTTCAGGAGTTAGAAATACAAGCCGCATGCTTTCATAACACATCTATCAAAATTGCTCAAAGCATAATGAGAAGAAAAAACCATAAAGAGGATGCTCAGCATTATGCTAAACATGCTTGCCATGTTGCTTCATGTAGTTGTTTTGAATTCAGACTCATTCAGTGCTATGAGTAGATCTGGGGTATGTTGTATCCATGCTAACTGATGGGGCTTACTCCTTTCTTGTCTTTCTTAAAGGGTACTCGGTAGGCGCAGGGCATTTTCGGAGTCCGCATACCACAGAAGTAGTTGGAGGAGCCCCTCAGCATGAGCAGATTGGGAAAGTAAGAAATTGCATTTTAATCTTTCTTTTTTTCCAAAAGTTTCCAGTGGGTCACTGGAGGTAATAAATAGCAACAGAAGAGCTACAAAAATTCTAAGGAATGAAAGATTAGAAATAATAAATTGGGTAGTGCATTAGTGGAATGTGTGAAAGATTTGTGGTTATAAAGGAAATTTAGAAGAAATGCTTTAAGGAAAATTACAGAAGTCAAGCAAAGATTTTCTTCCTATAAGTAAACTGTAAAATGAAATGAAAGCTGTGCAGGGAATAGATTTACTGTGTAACTTTCATTGAGAGGAATTTGGAGTAGCCACATGCTTTATTGTAAGTTGAGAAGAGGCAAATGTTACTTTTGGTTCTAGTTTTTGCTAAGTTGCTGTCTGTGTGCTGGCCAATCTCTGTGCCTACCTTTTGAAGAGCAAATCAAATATCTTCTGTGCCATCTATGGGATCAATAAAATAATTCCCAAGAGGATGATTCTATAAATGAGGCAGCTGAATGTGAAAATAGAGCCCTACACCTTCCTGTACCACTTCTGAAACATGTTTGTAATACTTAACATTTTAAGTGAATTTCAGTATTTTTATATCTGAGCAGCTATCTGAGCTAAAAGTTAACATTTTGATCAAACAGAAAAAAGTATATTGTTAATAAGAGCCTTTGAAGGTAATATACACTCTTTCAATTTATTCCCCATTGCAGGCCTATATATTCAGCATTGATGCAAAGGAACTAAATATTGTACACGAAATGAAAGGAAAAAAGGTAAAATGCCTCTCTCTTTGGTACAGTGAGGGCTTTTGAGAACAACGCTGCTTCTTCCTGACCCGCTATGGTTTGCTTTGCGACAGCTTGGCTCCTACTTTGGAGCTTCTGTCTGTGCTGTGGACCTCAACGCAGATGGCTTCTCAGACCTGCTGGTGGGAGCGCCCATGCACAGCTCCGTGAGGGAGGAGGGCAGAGTGTTCGTGTTCATCAACTCTGGCTCGGTACGTGTGACTGGCTGCCCCAAACCGTGAGCCATTCATGGGAACTGTGACAGGCACTGAACCTATTCTTATTCCAGAGTTCTGAAATTCCAGGTGCTCAGGCTAACTTGACTGACAAAAATAAAAACTTTAATATGGTACTCATGCCCTCTAAAAAGGAAACTGACCATCATGGTGAATGGGCAGCTATTTCATTTGGATATTCCAGAAAGACTTATATTCTCTATTCACAGCTTGTGAATATTCACTTCAGTAATTAAAATTTATTTGAGCTTTATTTTGACACAATTCTAATATGAGAGAATGTTGTTTATTCTTCAAAGTGAGGATTTTTTTAAACAATTCTAAAATTGAGGTCTTTACATAATTTAATAAATTATAAAATATTACTAGAAGGTCAAGAATTAAATATCTTTATTTGAAAACAGTTGGAAATGTTTAGCTAAAATATTAATGGAAATGCATGCATGTTTCATTTTTAAAAAGAACATGAATTTGACAATTTATTTCAAAGTGAATAGTCTAGTAATTTAAATAGGTAATTACGGACAGTGGTTTACTTTTCAATCATGAGCCATGTTTTAAAGTAGAAACTGAGATCTTGATTTAATTTAAAGAACTCTGCTGGCTTTATCTTGGCAGCTTCCCATCTTGACATTAAATCAGAACAAAGAAATCTCAGTGTCTTAAAGGGATGTCTTCACCCCATGGCCTTGATTTGAAAACAAAAGCAGGCTTGTGAGCAAATCGGTTCATTTCTTATGGCATAATGTCTTAGTCAGGATTCAACACAATAAGATCTGTTTCAAGAAGGTATTTGTAATCTGATTTAACCAGTGGTTTCAGAATACTTAAGAAGTTCCTCATTTAAGCATCAGACTAAACTGTGTACAACTGAGGAGAGAACACTGTCATCTTAGAAAACTGGGGATTCTCAATGTTCTAAATATGGAGCAGTGAATTCGCAGAGGCACTGAGATTTCATAGGCTGCTATTAAATGTAAGTTTAAGAGTAAGGACAGCAGCCGGCGAGATAGCTCAGTGGTCTAAAGCGCCTGCTTAGGCCAGCTTAGGCAAGCATGCAGGGACCACTGTTCAATCCCTGGCACCACATGCTATGCCAGCCCCGCCCCCAGAGCAGGCAAAACAGGCCACAAAAAAAAAAAAAAAAAAAAAAGACATATCATCTATACAGTGATCCTTCAAATCTCATCAATAGTGATACCCAACAATCATTTTTCTTGCAGAGACATTCCAAATTTTCCAATCAGTCATTTTCTTAGACATGCTACATCCTCCTGCTGCAGATTTCTCTGTGTGTTTGCAACTTAAATGTTTTTTGAGAATGGTTTACAAAGCAGCCTACACATCCAAAACAAAGCAGCATAGCAACTTTTGCCCGCTGAGATCTTAAACCTTCCCAGTATGAAAAATCAAGGCAGAGTTAGTTTAAAGGGCCCGTTAATCTACCTTTGAGTTCTTCCTTCCCACTTACCAAGAGGTACCAGCCCACTATTGAGCGCCGCTGTCAGTTGAGTCATTGACTTCAGCTTTCAGCTCCTCTGCTTAGTCATTTTTGCTGCCATCTCGCCTGCTGCTGGCTAACTCTCTGCAAAGGCTGTACCCCCTATGCAGTGCAATAGATTTATCTATCTGCTTTGCTATTGTCTGTCCTCCTGGAGTGTAGACTCCATGTAAAGAGCAGCCATCTGTCTTGCTTATTGCTCTTTCCTTTGGGCTGGGAAGCATCTTGCCGAGTAGGTGCTCCAAAATTATTTTTGAATGAACTTAAGAAAGAATGACACTTGAGTGACTCTGGCTTCCACCTAATCCTACTAAAATTGCTCTTGGGCTACCCCAGAGAATGCTTGATCCCTGCTCTCTGGGACTGGAGGATACTTGAAGAGTGAGCGTCACCTCTCTTCAGACTCTGCTCCCAGAACTGCACTGTCATGTCTGCGCCTGTCTGCTCTCCCAGAGCCCCTTTCCCTTCACTTCTGGCATTCCTACAGAAGCTGGCTGTTCTTGGTCCCAGTTTTTGATTCAGTCCCCTGCTGCTTGGCTGTCAGTGGCTGCATCTATGGAGGTGATGCCGTCATCTTCCTTCTGGTTTAGGATTAAGCTGAATGGCAGTGTGTGGGGTGAAAGACGGACCAAGTACAGGGTGAGAGTAGTCCTGTCTTGACCTCCAGCATCCCAGGGTCTCGTGAAAACACCAAATCTGGGAGTAAACAGTGGAATACAGTGTGGCAAATAATGCTTAATGAACTATAAAAAGTGGAAGAAGTGACTTGTTTTGGGTCAAGAAGGTTTCCCAGAGGAAGTACTGTTTGAGCTAGGCAACGATAGGAATTTTTCAGCTAGAAAATAAAAGGTGATGGGCACTTCACTCAAGGAAGAACGTGTGTGCTTAGGGAATGACAGACTTTTAAAGAAGAGGTCTGTGGTGAGCAGTGTGTGGCTTTTTATCTTGGTGGAGGGACTGAGATGGGATTGAGATGATCAGCATTAGGAAAGAGGACTGGCAGCTATTGCTGCAGCAGCTCAGGACTGCAACAGTATTCAACCTAGTGACTCCTCTTCCCAGTATTGAGATTCTAACCAACCAGCCCATTTCCATTGCTGCTGGGATAAAGTTTGAAAGGCCATTTTGTCACATCACTCAACTAGGAAGTTTCAGTACATTCCCAAGTCACGGCGCAGGCACATGCATATAATCCTAGCACTCCAGAAGTCCAGCAGGAGGACCAGGAGCTGAAAGCCAGTATGGGCTGCAGAGTGCATTCAGGGACAATGTGGGCTACATAATGAAACTCTAGGCTGGGGAGATAGCTCGGTAGAACAAGCACTTGCCTGGCAAGCGTAGGTCCTGAGTTCAATCCCTGGTACCACCCCCCCCCCAAAAAAAATCATAATGAAACTCTGTCTCAAAACACCAAGACACAAGCAGACAAATTTTTCTCTCCAATCAAATTATAGCTCTTTAAATTGCAACTTGACTTTTTTTTGCCTTATTCCATTATATGTAGTATTCCATTATATGTGCTATTCCTTTGGTATTTGTGTTCTGCTGAGAATCTTTTCTGAATATCAAAATTCTACTTTGCTATCCATAGGCACCTTGCGTGCCATGTTCTTTATGAAATCTCTTCTAGACTTTTTTCCTATTTTCTTACTATTGGTGGTGGCTCCTTATCTCCATTACATGCTTCGCCCTTGTTTCTTGTACCTGCAGCACAGTTTTACTTCTATATCATATTGCTGTGGCTGCGCTAAGCCCTACAGAAGGAAGTATATTTTGCTCACTACCTATCCCCTTTCACCCATTCATTTTACATAGTTCATTATCTTTAGTAAGAGCTCAATAAATATTTGTAAATTGAATTATCAAAATGACTTATTGGATTTTCTAAGCCAGGGATCATGACTTTGATGTGTTTTATATCCTGTGGGCTCTAATCATGTTATAATATGTGTTGGCATACTCAATAAAAATTTATCGGATTGAACTGAGATGTGTATACTACTGCTCAGTCTGTAGTTTGTCCAATTTGTTTGGTGCATTAGAAAAAAAAAATCCATATCCAATTACAGCAGTAAATCATGTGTAAATTTGTCATGGGATGTAATAATGACACCTTTCTTCTCCCTGTCTACCTAGGGAGCAGTAATGAATGAAATGGAAACAGCGCTCACTGGAAGCGACAAATATGCCGCAAGATTTGGGGAATCTATAGTTAATCTTGGTGACATCGACAATGATGGCTTTGAAGGTAATTGAAAGTATCTAATTTGGTACTTGACTTCTACTTTTAAAATGGCTCATGAAAGAGCATATAATTGGGATTGTTATTTGCCTTTCTATGGAAAGTGAAGCCAGGATGATATATGTGTGCTTTGTCCTTCTAGTATTCATCTGACTTCTTCATTGTAAGCATTGATTTTCACTGTTGTTACTAAGAACTGATATTCAATATACCTGGTTTCATTGATTTGGAAGCACTGCTAATTATAAGTAGCCATTATGTTAGGTGCCTCTAAAAATCCTATTAACTGCGTGAGAACACTCAACATTTATTTCTGTTTCAAGAAGCATCCTGATTTCAGAAATGAAAAGACGTTAAGGTTGGGAGAGAAATGTATGACCTAGACTCACTGGACCATGGTGCATAAATACCAGGGCAATAAAGGCACTGACCAAATCTGCAGGCCCTGGCTGCAGAGCTGGAGGTGGATTCTGGAAGCCCCCTGTTGTGCCAGGCTCTTCCTGTTCAGCTCTGCCCTGTGGGCTTGAGAGATTCTAGGGAAAGTCTCGAGCGCTGGCGCAGAGCAATGGGTGAAACTCGAGGACAGTGACTCTTCACCCACTGGTATTGCAGACTCTGAGTAACTGAGTAGAGGGTGGAATCTTGCTGTACATTTTGCCTGGCTCTGAGTAGTAACCAAATCTGTGTGTATAATGAATAAATAAGTTTGAAGAGGAGTATGCAGTTTCCCAGAGTTCAGTAAGTCTCTGGAACATATTCTCAGGCCTCAGAACTGTCTTCTTGAAAGGGGCATTGGGAATGAATGTATGGTTATATGAGGACAAAAGTTGCTTGGATATTAAAACAAGTGACAGACTGCCAAAAGTTCTTGCTACCGGGCTGGAGAGATGGCTCAGTGGTCTAAAGCACCTACTTAGAACAAGCTTGGCAAGGCATCAGGGACCGCGGTTCAATCCCCCAGCACCACATGCCAG